GAGAAAAGAGACAGATTATTCTGTATGAGGAACAGCAGGAAGCCTATTTGGCTAGCAAGGGTGGAGAACATGCAGCCTCGAGGCCACATGTGGCTCCCTAGGTCCTCAAGTGCAGCCCTTTGAATCCAAACTTCACAGAACAAATTTCCTTAAAAGGATTTGTTCTGTAAAACCTGGACTCAGTCAAAAAGCCACACTCCAGGACCTAGAAGGCATGTGGCCTTCTGGTAGACCATAGGATAGGGGCTGGACTTGTAGTATCTTTGGCCAATCCAGGCCTTGGCACCTTCTCTGTAACATGATCTTAAAGAGTTGCCTTGAGCACAGAGGGAGTTAAGTGTCTTGCCTAGGGTCACAAGGCCAGTATGTGTTAGGAGTGGGCCTGGAACCCAAGTCTCCCTGGCTTTGAGATGAGTTCTCTATCCACTAAGCTATGCTGTCTGAGTAATGCATAAGCACCAGAAAAGGAGGTTGGAATCAGGTTGCGAAGGGCTTTAAATGTCAAACAGAAGACTTTGAATTGTATTCTAGAAGTAATAGGTGGCCACTGGAGTAACATGGACAAACATATGCTTTAGGAATATCATTAGCAGTTGTGTGGAAGACAGAGTGGAGCCTTGAAGCAGGGAGACCAATTAGGAATGGTGCTATTGCAACAGTCCAGGTTCAAGGTGATTTATTTATCCAGTGAGTACAGAATCTTGAATTGAGAAGTCAGAGGTCATCCAGTCCAGTGGGGTGAAATTCAAATAGAAACCAATCCCTAAGGGCAGCATATTGACTTAGAAAACCACAAACTAACATTATCTGTTACATAGTATTTTAAGACTGTTAAATGTTTCCCAAGTACATTTTAACCTGGTTACAACCACAAGTTTGACCAACCTAAATCTGAACATGCACACTATCAAGCAGGGTAACAAACTTTTTTCATTTTTCCAGGGCAGGGAGGATGAAGTGGCCTCACTTCCTGAAAATTGCTTGTGTCTCATAACCGTGGGAATGTTTAGTCTCTTCAGGAAAGAAATCCAATTTTGCTGTCTACTCTTCATCAATCACTGATTTTCTGGGATTTAAAATTACAGAATCATAAAGTTTCCTCAAAAAATTTTAAATCCAACCTTTTACTGGATGTAGGTCAACTTCACCGTTTAAGTGATCACCTACTGTGTCTGAAGTAAAGCTGATACCTACTGCCAGGCTCTTAGGAAGGTCTCTTTTGGGGGTCCCAGCCATAAAAATGCAACCAGGGTTTCCTCTTGGACCTGCTAGGAGGTTCAAGAGGCTCCTAATAGTGAACTTCTTTCCCTTTTTTCTTGGGCAGAGAAACTTATGATCCTTTCATGAATTTCTCTCCCTTTCTGAGTTATTTTTAAAGTGTAAAATGATCAGAAACCTGGCCCAGATGAGGCATTTGGCAAAACATGGCCACTTCACGTGGGTATTGCCAACAGCTTTTATTTTAAAAGGCTCCCACAGGCAGGTATAGACACTAGATTTAATCAGAGAACTGGATTTAAGATCTGATTGTGCTACATGCTGGGCAACATTCTATTGGATTCTCAACTTCCTTGTCTGCACTACCTATATCTAAAGGTTGCTGTATCAAACAGGATAAATTATATCAAGTGGTTTGCAAGTACTGGACCATTATAGGTTGTCCAATATTATTTTAACTAGGCTGTAAAACCTCGTATTTTTCTTGCAGCAGCACAGGGCTCTAGTAAAACAAGCACTTAATCCATGTGTTGATTAAATTGTTGAGCAAAGATGTGGGCACTTGATAATGATACCTGACATTTACATAATGACTTAAAATCTGCAAATAGCTTTCTATACACTCTCACACGAACTTCACCAAAGTCCCTTGTGGCAAGAACTACAGGTACTATTATTCCTATTTACAAATGAGGAAACTCAGGCACGGAAAGGTTAAATGGTGCCTATGGTCACACAGCTAATATTTATTAAAGGTAAAAGCTGGATTTGAGGTAGCTAGGTGGCACACTGGATAGAGCACTGGGCCTGGAGTCAGGAATACTCATCTTTGTGAGTTCAAATCCAGCTTCAAACACGTACTGGCTGTGTGACCCTGGGCAAGTCACTTAATCTTGTTTGCCTTAGTTTCCTCATCTGTAAAAGGGGCTAGAGAAGGAAATGGCAAACCAATCCAGTATCTTTGCCATGAAAATGCCAAATGGAGTCATGAAGAATCAGACACGACTAAAACTAAACAACAAAAGTTGAACTGAGGACTTTCTGACTATTGTATTACGCCTTCCTGACTCAATCACTATAAAATAAAAATAATGGGGCCATGTTCTGTCATCCCTCACTCATTCCCATCCTGAATAACGTGATTGTTCCATACTGAGCCAAGCTAAAGGACAACTGTTCAACAATTATAGATACCCCTTGGTTCTTGCCCAATGGGAAAGGCGGTAATTAAGATATTATTTCAAAGGCAAAGTTCTTAGTGTTAAATGGCAGATAAAAAGATTAAGGAAACGGCTACACTTGGAACTCAGATAAAAGTATTAAGCCCCTACCCTAAAATATGAAAGGCACTATGTAGCCTCTAATGGACTATATGGATTTGTAGCTATTTTGTATATACAGAAAACAGACATAGTCACCTCTCGGGTCTCTCTAACCTCACCAGATTGAACTGATTCAAAGGAGGAACACCCACAATTTTCTCACACTACATCAAATAACTCGTCCAAGCATGTTATCCCATCATCTTTCCTCATGATAAGATACCAATTTTTTTTTTTTAAATGACGTTCAGGCATCTCTTTAGAGCATCCCTTCACCAATGCAAAACGAAATAAGCAGAACAAGAAAAACAATAGACAGCACAAGTAGCCAGCCTTGGAAAAGGATACATGACAGCTTTAACTAACAAAGTTGCATTTGGCAAAATGTACACTTAAGCCACTTAATTTAGCCTCAATTAGACCAAGAACATACCAGTTTTTTTCCTAAGTCAAGCTCAAATTTATCCCTCTTTAGAGAAAACAAAATATTTCTGCCTACACTATTAAAAACCCCAACATACCTTATAAGCTTTCTCATTTCAGAAATTCACCTTCTAAATCAATTCCATTATGCTCCACAAAGTTTTTCAGGTGGTATGAAAATTAAAATGCAAACAGAAAAGTATAAGCCTTTTCTGCTCGACTATTCCTGTGATCACACCTCTGTCCTCTACAGAGTTAAGAGCTTCAAAACCTATTGAAATTCCCAAGGTAAATAAAGGATCAACGATCAATTATCTAGGCTAATAGAAGGGAAGCGAAAATAACCCCCCCCCTTTCTGGATTACATTTGGAATGCAGTTCAACAATTCGATATTTAAATAGGTTGGGAGAAGTACCCACTTAAAAAATCAAGTAAATGAAAAGAGGGATGCCCTCATTTCATCTCAGGCATCCAGGAGCACAAATGCAAGTTTTCTGAGCAAATGATGGAACAGAACAACTCAACAATTGAGACAGTAAATGTTCTAAAGAACTGATTTTATAATACTCTTTATTTGATTAAAGAATTTGTATTCTTTGTGTACACTGGAATGTTATATTCCCTATGTAATTATTTTACAGGGTTACAAAACTTCTTTCATTTTAAATATTATCCCAAAAGTAATTAAAAAAAAAAGTTCTTGTGAAACTAAACCTGACTTTTTAAAATCATATGGACAAGCAACTCTTGAACAAAATTGGATTAATATTTCTCACCTACTTAACTACATGACAAATTTCTTCTCCCTGTCCCCTTCCCCCTAAAACCCTCACATGGAAACCAAGTTGAAGATACCTCCCTGATGCAGTTAAGAGAAAAAAAGGGGGGAGGCCAGGAACTTCCTTGGAAGACAATCCCAGGGCCCTTATAAAAATACAAACTGCTTCAAGTGAACTCTCTACAAGGGAGACAGAAGGGCTCTTTCACTGGCTAAAGGGGTAGGCATATTTCTATACATGAGTTGTTTGCTCGTCCCCTCTGCCAGTCACTGCTGCAGCATGAGGTGTCATTTGCTGAAGCCAAGCCTTTCCAAGTTCAGCTCGGCTGGCTGCTGAGTTTTTCTCTTACTGGTGGATAAGCCGGCATGGAAAATCAACCAGCATCTGATGCTATGTGGAAGAAAAAGTTTAAAAGAAGAAAGGGAAAAGTGGGTTTTTCAATAAGTGTCTATCTAAATGGAAAGTGCCACAAGGCAGAAAATGAGCTATGCAAGCAGTCCCTATACCAGGACATACAATAAAAAATTTCTATCCGCTTGTTAAGGACCTAAAACCTGGTAGCAATGGGGAGTTCCTTCAATGTTACAGGTCAATGACATAGTTGAGACTCAAAAACACCATTCTATTCTTGTCTAGGATTCTGAGGAGGACACCATATTCAGAATGGCCAGGAAGAAGGTGGTGGTGACAGGATTTTAAATGGATCACAAACACTCAAACGTATGAAACTTAAACCCTTAGCCAGAGTGCCCCAAATGGAATAACTGCAAATAGGGGAACCTTGGCAACAGACATAATTATATCTATGGATGGATAAGCTCTGATTTGGGGCCCCAAGAGCAGCATCATTCTAGCAGGTCTCCTATTCTTTCCCAAGTAAAGATCATGAGACCACCTGAGAGCTGCCACTTAGTCCCAAAGAGAAGGCTGCTACCTCCCATGCTTGACTTCAAACTAGATTCTCAGCAATATTCCTGGGGATAAGGCCTAAAGGAGGGACATCTTGGGAGTGTGCAGAACAGAGAAGCTGGAGGAGGCAGCAAGGAGGGTGAAGGGAAATGGAACAGGGACAGAAGACGTTCTTTGTGTTTCCACTCTAGAACCCCATTACAAAAATCAAAACCTTCACTTTCAAAGTTCTACAATTAAGGACTGGCCAGATCAGTTTGTTTCAAGGAGTGAAATGCAGTGCTTATGTACAAAGAGATCCCAGTGCCTGACTGAAGTGACAAAAAAGAAGGCTAGGAGCAGAAGGGATTAAAAAAAAGATTAAAACCTTTATCTGCAGAGAAAACCTTTTAAAACAAAGAAAGTATGAGGCGCAACTGCATTTAGGGAATGAAATGAGGGGCGGGGCACGGAAGATGTTTAACTGGGGGCGTTCTCTGGGGAGCCTGCTTTCCGGCTGGCCAGTGAGATCTGCCAATTCAGTCAGCAGCCTCCCCCCCCACCCCCTTTAGCTTGTGTCAATTCTTTGCCAAAGAATGTCTCTGAGACCCTGGAACTGGGGATGAGTTGAGGGTCCTTGCGCATACAGAATCGTGCGTCTTATCAGAAAAAAAGATTTCCAGTGGCTTGCAGATTTGGAAAAAACTCTTTAGCCATTGCAGGTTTCTTCTTTTATTTAAAAATCTTCTTTTTCGGTTCCCTTCTCTTGGTATTACAGGATTTCATATTTATCCACAAGGAAGGTGGTCTCCGTGGAAAACCTTACAGGACTACTCCCATCCACTTGGGTCACTCTGGTAACCTAGAAAAACACAAACAGATTGGGGGTGGGGAAAGTGAGCCTTTGAGAAGCTTATTAAATTTTCATCACAGCCCAGATCAAATCCCTTGAGCATAATGGAGAAGACGGCTTAGGGAAGATCAAATGAGATACAGGTTTGAATACTAAAGAAATCCACGTCTTCAACTCCCAATGGAGAGCATGATGGAGAGGTTAAGTGGCACCTTCAACGCATGATAAAGGTGCCAGAATGCCTGTACAGCCGGGCTGTGGCAAGGTGGTATATGTTCTGATTTCTACCACAAACATCTTTTACTGCCCCAGCACTACTATGGTTTCATCTCATCCTCAGCTCATAAAAATGATTTGCTGCTTCCATCACTGAAATGCTGCTACTTCTGAACACAATGACAACAACTATTAATGAGGAACAATTCTGAACTCCAAAGAATGATGGTGATAGAGAGGGAGGTAGCACAGTGTTCATGTAAGTAAGCATAAGTAAAAGACTAAGCCTAGAATCAGGCTGGTACAAAAGAGTCTATTCCACCCTAACCCCCTACCCCCGCCAACCTCTACCTCCACCCCCAGCTACGGGCTGCATAACAACCTGGATCGGACAAGATTCATAGTTTAAATCTAGCTCCAAAGGAATGGAATCAAGAATGATTCTGACTGAAGGTGCATCACCCTAACTCACTGTCATTACTTGGGTACAGCGCGCACAGTCTGCTCTGATGATCTCCTGGCAAATATCATACCAGGCTGATCCACTCAAGTTATTTCCTAGGTTCAGCTGAGATGACTGTCCCTTTTGAGGAGTCATAAAGCCTTATTCTGTTGCATATCCTTCTGATTGTCTCAAAGAGGAATAGTGCATCTATTTAGAAATATTCCTACCTAGCAGCTTGTTTCATTATATGACATCTAATATAGATCAAACTATATCAATGACAAGGAAAAGAGAGTGCCTGATCTTGGGAAGAGTCCACCAGAAAAAGCTAGAACTTCCTACCCACTTATGCGAGAGATGAAACTATTTGGAAGACAAAAGAATGCCAAGACAGTCAGCACCTACCCCACTCTCATGAAAATAAAATAAAAAAGGGAAGAAGACAACAGTATGACTGGATGTGCTGGTGATATAATTTCATAGACAGAAAGAACAGTAAGTTAAAATGGTGACCAAAAGGAAAGATTCACACCATATCATCATAACTATTTCTCAGAGACATGTGAGTGAAATACTGATTAATGTTAGAGTTGATCCTATATCAACTGAAGAGAAGCAGAAGATAACCTAGAGATCATTTCTCCTGGGTATTGGCATTTACAAGACTCTTTTCCAAACTATGTTCTATTTAAGCTAAAGTGAAAAAATTCATTAAAATGAATCTGTATTCCTTGAGCATCAAGTCATGGCAAAATAACACAAAAGTATAAATGTGTGTATTGAGTGGTAGGAGGCAGCCAAGCCAGTATTACAAAGCAAATCAGCCACACATAGATAATTGTCTTTCCTATAATTGCTACACATTTCACATGGATCATTTAACTTATCCTCAACTCAGTTAGTACTGGGGGAAGGGGGAGGAAGAGAGAGGGTGAAAGACTTGCCTAAGGTCACACAGTGAGTCAGTGGTGGAGGAGTTTATAGATATCACCAGTATTTCTGAGACCCCTGTCCTGTTCCCAAAACTATGCTGCTTACCAGCTGCCATCTACCCCACTGCTTGACCTGTAAACCCTTAGGCATGGGTACCTGTATGTTGCAATAGTTCTTTTTGGAGATGAAGGAGACTTGCACAGGAAAGAAGTCATTAGGCTGCCCAGCAATGCTGAATTCTAGGCTGCCACTCTTGTTTTTGGCATCAATCACTGGCAGGCACCACTCCAAAGTGTTGCGTCGACTGTCATGGCGATATTCACCATCAATCTCACCAATTACAGGGGCACCAACTCCAGACCTGTCACAGGCAACACACATACAAAATCACTTCAGCTGGTCAAAGACAAAAGGAACTCATTAAGGATGACTAGCTCCAAATTAGATCAAATACAATTTTTTACATAGCCCTTGAGAAATAAGGTTCCAAATGAAGACGGGGACCAGAGACCTGGCACCCTCATTTTGGGACACTTCTACTTTACTGGGAACAGTAGGCATTTAGCATGAGTATCTATGTATTGCTCCTGTCTCTCACTCAGGCCATAAGAAGTATATTCTCTCTAAATCAAGACATATGTCTCTGCAAACCTTGTATCCCTTATTTAATCCTGGGTTGCAGAATTAAGAAGAAATTTTAATTCTGGTGCAGATATCCTTTCAGGTGTCACTGGGAAAAAGCAAAATGGCACTTTTCAGATCCAAATCTTTAATTATTTAGAGCAGAGGTTGTTGAATTTGGGTCTTATAGACTGTGAGTCCCTGGCTTTTTTATAAGTGTAAGATTAGAAGCTGGACTTCAATCCAGTAGGTCAGCATTTAACTTGACAGTGAAAGAACTCTCGGGCAAAGTGTCTAAGGGAAAAAATGAATCATGGTGAGGGAAAGAAAGAGCTCTAGTTACCCTTAGTTTACAAGAGAACTACTACCAGGGCCAGTTAGGATATATTTTTCACTATGCATGAAGTTAACAAGCAATGTCATCCACTCCCACACATTCTAAATTTACCTTCCTTTAATTCACCAAGTAACATTTTATGCTTGTGTTGGGGGACAGAGTAAATAAAGGAGACAAAGACAATTCTACAAAGGTGATATAAAAGACTAAAGGTTCTTCTCTATTTTATGGTCCTAATTCTATTTAGTACCCTTCTCTACATCCTCAAATCTGATTTTGGCCATTCTGACATTAGAAATGGTAGAGGACAGGGTATAGTGGGTTGTATAAGGGTCTCTTGCAGAGAACATCGCAAAACTGAGTGAAGACACAGGAAACCACCAAAACCACAATTACAGGGTAGATGGTAAAGCTTAAAAATTGTGGCATCCTAAAAATAGTCCAGTAAAATAAATCTTGACAAACAAAAACCCACCTGTCACCCAAGTCCAAGCTCTATAACAGTGCAAGGCAGCCATCTATTGTTCCAAAGCAAACGATAAATAGGCTATGGATACTAAGGTGATTACTCCATAACTTCATTACCAAAGAGACTCCGGTGATGAGTTTGGGGAAAGTACAATGTATACTTTTTGAATGTTGATTTAAAGGGCAGGATTGATAAGGATGGGTATATTATGGAAAGGCTTGAAATAATTTCCATGCAGGAATTCGATGTAAAGTTACAAATTAAATTAATTATTTTCTCCCTCTCAATTATGGTAGACCCACACCACAATGAGTAATGTCAGAAAGAACTCTACTGTTTCTCAGAACTCAGTCACAAATTTGGTAGATAAGGAAAAATCCCTACATCAAGTGGAGATAGTGTATGGAGAAAAGGAGTGAGCATTTATTAAGCACCTACTGTGTACCTGATACTGTGAACAGCCTTAGTGTTTCATTTTATCTTCACTATAACCTTGGGAGGTAGGTGCTAATATGATCCCTATTTTACAGTTGAGGAAATTGAAGAAGATGAAGGTTGAGTGACTTTCCCAAGGTCCCAGAGACAGTAAGTGTCCAAGGCTGAATTTGAATTCAAATCTTCTTGACTCCATGCCCAATGCTCTATCCACTGTGCCACCTAGCTAGAATATAACCTTATGGTAGAAGGTGTTTCAAGGAGATTACTCTGGGAATATTGACAAATACACTATTCACTAGGAATTTACTGAACATGATTGCTGTGTGCACAAGACTAGAAAACATCTTTCATATGGAGAATTGAGAGGCTCATTGCCCAAGGAGCTTAGTTTATGATAACTCCAAAAAAAAATCATTGATGTATATGGGTACCTCTGAAAATCCAGCCCCATCCATAACTAACACACTAGTGGGTAGTGAGCAATGTGTGGAAGAAACAAGCTCTCTCTGCTCATGTCTGCCTCATGGCTCCCTTCAAGATTCAGCTAAAATCCCACCTTTCACAAGAAGCCTTTCTTGGCTCCTCTTAATTCTAGCATCTTCCCTCTGCTAAACATTTCCTCTATCCTGTAAGTAGCTTGTCTGCACATATCTGTTTGCAGGTTGTCTCCCCCATCAGGCATGTGAGCTCCTAGAGAGCAGGGACTGTTTTCTGCCTTTCTCTGTATTCCCAGTGCTTAACACTGTGCCTGGCACGTAACAGGTGCTTAATAAATGCTTACTGACTGACTGACATTGTGAGAAATTGCTAATTTCTTTGGGACTTAGGAAATGGAACATGAAAAAGCTTGGCTAAAAGTGGTTCCTTTTTCTAGAAGAATCTCTTATTACATGGAAAGATTAGGATCTAAATCAAAAAACTGCTTTGGAAAATTAACTGGCCCATCCCTTAAAAAGACCAACTTCCCAAGGTTCCTAGAAGGCAGACAAGGTCAAGTGAGGACCCAGAGGTATTATCAAAACTTTGATTTATCAGCTAAGCCTAAGGAAAGTTATTCCACTTACGGGAGTGGGATGGTGATGACTACATCATTCAGTTCCAAGTTCTCTTCTTGCAGCTCATATTCTATGTTGACATCACAGCCATTTCCACTCTCAGAGGGCCAGCAGTTAACTAAGGGCACAAAAACAAAGGCAGAAACACTGAGGTATTAAGAGAATAACAGAAGTCAGAGCTGGATGGGACCTCAGAAATCACCAAGTCCAACCCCCTCATTTTAGAAATAAGAAAGTGAAGCTCACAGAGGTAGTGACTTGCCTAATAACCAGCAGAGCTGACTCTTAAATCCAAATTAATGATCTTTCTACTTACAACATGCTTCAAGATGACAGGATAGCAAATCAGAGGTAACTGATTGCTATGATCCTCAAACACTCGCTGTAAAGTAACAATAATAGAGATGGCCACTTTAAGCTGAAGCTACCGAAAAAACTGCCACAGAGATAAGTTTTATTTTAGCTCTGAGAACAGTTCAATTTGTTGCCAAAAGAGCCAGCACTACTAGCAGTCCTCTCAAAATGCAGAATTTAGCTCAATGGAGCAGACCAAAGGCACTTACTTGTCAATGGAATGAAGGATTCCTCTGTGGTCTGTAGCCTCCACTTCAGCACTCCAACATCACTGTTGACTGGGAATGACTTCTCAGGGTTCTTCAAGCCAATAAGAGATTCTGCAGTAAAGAGTTTTTTGTCCACATTTGGGTGGGTCTGATATGACAGAGAGGAGAAAGAAGAGCATTAACTTAAATTCAGATAAGACAAGACACAAATTATTCCCTTTTGGTCTTATGAGGTCCAAAGCTTTAACTGAAGGAAGAGAAATACCTAAGAAAAGAACTAGTGACAAATCCTAGGAAGAGATTTCTCTCACAAACCTATAGGATACTTAAATATTCATTTCAATTCCTATTTCTCTCTATGGGAAAGCTCAACTTTAAAAATGCTATTAGGTTTATGGAAAAAAAATTTTCATGTAAAAAAGTAAAGACTATCACCACCCTTCCAAATACATTTATAGGGAGCTACTTCATGGTGGGGCTAGATGTTAATCGTGGCCTTTTATAAAGAGGCAGCACATGGAAGGAAAAGACAAAACAAAATTTCTAAATCACCAGAAAGCTCTGTGGAGAGCAAGGTTACAGCTGTGACTAGAGGGGAGTTTTGTCATATCAGAGAACTCAGTTGGATGGACTTAAACTCTAGAGGATGCATAGAAATATCAAGCCTACTGAGCAAGCTGAGCAAGATTCGATCTCATCTTGTTATGGTGCCGTATACACTTTTGGAGCCAGAGAAGCTTTTATCTTTAAGAAGCAGTTATTACTTCCAGAAGCC